ATGTTTCTCTTCTGCCTTGGTTTTTAATATAGAAAAATTATATACGTACGAAATGATAGAAATTAAATGATCTCGACAGTAATGATCTTCATAAAATGTAACTTATGCGTTAAAAATCGATCAAAATTTGTTTCCGAGATAAAATTTTAAATTAGAATGAATTATATTTACTTTCGCATGTTTCTCTTCTGCCTTGGTTTTTACATATAGAAAAAATTATATACGTACGAAATGATAGAAATTAAATGATCTCGACAGTAATGATCTTCATAAAATGTAACTTATGCGTTAAAAATCGATCAAATTTGTTCCGAGATAAAATTTTAAATTAGAATGAATTATATTTTACTTTCGCATGTTTCTCTTCTGCCTTGGTTTTTACATATAGAAAAATTATTATCGTACGAAATGATAGAAATTAACATGATCTCGACGTAATGATCTCATAAAATGTAACTTATGCGTTAAAAATCGATCAATTGTTCCGAGATAAAATTTTAAATTAGAATGAATTATATTACTTTCGATGTTTCTCTTCTGCCTTGGTTTGTACATATAGAAAAATATATACGTACGAAATGATGAAATTAAATGATCTCGACAGTAATGATCTTCATAAAATGTAACTTATGCGTTAAAAATCGATCAAATTGTTCCGAGATAAAATTTAAAATTAGAATGAATTATATTTTACTTTCGCATGTTTCTCTTCTGCCTGGTTTTTACATATAGAAAAATTATATACGTACGAAATGATAGAAATTAAATGATCTCGACAGTAATGATCTTCATAAAATGTAACTTTGCGTTAAAAATCGATCAAATTTGTCCGAGATAAAATTTTAAATTAGAATGAATTATATTTTACTTTCGCATGTTTTTCTCTGCCTTGGTTTTACTATAGAAAAATTATATACGTACGAATGATAGAATTAAATGATCCGACAGTAATGTCTATAAAAATGTAACTTATGCGTTAAAAATCGATCAATTTGTTCCGAGATAAAATTTTAAATTAGAAGAATTATATTATCGCATGTTCTCTTCTGCCTGGTTTTACATATAGAAAAAATAACGACGAAATGATAGAATTAAATGATCTCGACAGTAATGATCTTCATAAAATGTAATTATGCGTTAAAAATCGACAATTGTCCGAGATAAATTTTTAAATTAGAATGAATTATATTTTACTTTCGCATGTTTCTTTGGCCTTGGTTTTTAATATAGAAAATTATATAAGTACGAAATGATAGAAATTAAATGATCCGACAGTAAGATCTTCATAAAATGTAATTATGCGTTAAAAATCGATCAAATTGTTCCGAGATAAAATTTAAATTAGAAATGAATATTTTACTTTCGCAGTTTCCTTTCTGCCTTGGTTTTTACATATAAAAATCGTACGAAAAATGTTCCGAGAAATTAAATTAGATCTCGACAGTATCATAAAATCTCGTTAACGTATGCCGTTAAAAATCGATCAAATTTGTTCGAGATAAAATTTTAAATAGAATGAATTATTTTACTTTCGCATGTTTCTTCTGATTATTTAAAATTATATACGTAATGATTTATATTCGACAATACAATGTAATTTCTTCCTTGTTCCGAGATAAAATTTTAAATTAGAATGAATTATTTGCATATGTTTTGACACTGATATGCTTTAATGTAACATATATTTCCTCTATATGTCGTACAATGATATGTAGAGGAAATATATGGTATATTTGGCTCTATATGTCGTTTCGTTATTATCAGAAAAATGTCAGCTTATCAGAATAAAATCCTTACAACATATTTTTTAACGTTCTTAATACAGGTAGATAGCAATTGCAAAGAAAAAAAATCTGATGTGTACACTACATGACTTCCATGTACGGAATGTTAAATTATACGCATTTGTTTCTGAAATTCACTTAAAACGTATTTCCTCGAATTTCATAAGACACAGATTTCTTATTCAATTAATTTAGTTCTCATTTCGCGACAAGGCAGAAATACATAAAAAATCAAAATATGTTCACTAAGAATAGAAAGATATAGAAAAACATAAAACATCAAATACAGTTAAAATAATTTTTACAATTAAAATTACAATTTCTACGCAGAAGCAAGCAATTTGGTCAGGGACAAGAAGGCAGATTTTTTTGGTACACAAAACTGAAAGTTTCTTTTTGGTCCCACTCGGCAAAAAGATACTGAAGCTGCAGAAAGACTTAAGTCATTACTCTGCCAAGTTTTAAATGTAAACAAATAGGGCTGCTCGGTAAAAAAACAGGCTTAGAAACCCTTAAACAACTGTTAAATTGTTTATAATTCTACAACTATTGAACGCAGATTAACTAAAGGCATAAAAACCTTAACCGGAAGATAAGAACAACATAATTCAATCATTTTGAAAGCAAAAAATGCACAATTTACCAATATATAAGAATAAGAAGAAACTGAGCTCACCAAGCTGAGTAACAGAGTGGGTATATATTATATATTTTTGGAGAGGCCCATTGCAACCAAAAAGGGAAGTGCACAACTGCATGTTATAGCAATCTTTTATACAGAATTTCAACGTTCTGAGGCTATTCTTTTTGAGTTATGCGAGATACATACATATATACGTACCTACGTACAGACGCCACGAAAAAATTTTTTTCTGAATCCATTTTAAATCAGCCTTATAATTCGTTTGGGGAAAAGAAGTCCTTTATTCTGCCGTTACGTACAGATGTCATGAAAAAACATCGTTATATTGCATTCGATAGCGGTCAAAATGGATATTTTTATTAAAATATGATACCAGGAATTTTTTGTAATTATAATACTTCCTTTATTTTGTACAAGGACGTAATAAGAATACCATTGACGCTACAGTAATATTTTAAAGTGATTTAATGCTTCTGCATCTGCAAGCAATTAAAATGCACAAAATATTAAGAATGAATTAAGAAATGAATGAATATTTGCGAATATGTTTTATAGAACGTTTCGAAATATTCATTTATTTTATCACAAAAGATGGAATTTTATAGACAATGATATCTTGGCTAAAAATGGCAAACGTAACTATGTGAATGATAAAGAAAGGCCTTTTCGCTTTCCTTCTCTGCATTATTTCACACTGTATGCTTTGTTTCACTGCAAGGTAATGAAAACGGCAGTGAAACAATTGTACAGTATTCAGTTTGCGCTTTCGTTTCGCATTACATACCGTACATTTTGACACTAATATATCTAAAGCTATTATATTTAAATCCTAAACAAATATTTACAGGCCATCTGCCTACCAAAATATATACCTTCATGAGAAATGTACCATTTACTTTAAAGGTAACTGGTTTTTAAAAAATTTTTGGAAAATCATTACATATTAGGAACGTTATATATGCTACATATAATAAAATCACCCAAAACACTATAACCAGGTCATTTAATATACGAGAGCGTAATATCGAAGTTTTATGGCTTTAAGCTATTCGGAAACTTTTGAACACTTATACTGGCGAAACATTTTCAAATATTTTTCTAAAAAGGATTCAAATCCTTTCTCATATATATTTATATTATTTTCAATATTTTTCGATTAGAAAATAGGATATTGCTGAAATGTCAGCTTATTAGAAGATTAAATTTAATTCCTCATTAAATGTATCCAAACCGCCAGTTGTTTACTACTTATCTCGACAATACCTATCATGCTTTCTGGAGTAAAGTTTACCAATATAAATCTTAAAATGAAGCGATAATTTAAATGCGTATTTTGAGTATTTACTTAATGATTTAATTTTTAAAAAAAGCTAGTATTCTTGACGTTTCGCCATCCTTATAGCACTTGTTGCATTTTAAGATTCAGACGATTTTATTTAAACCAACAAACAAATTAAAAGACACCAGACTGCGTTTTAAACGTACATACTTAGTCAACATTAAAAAACAGTAGTAAAAATTTCTGAATTTTATGATTGGATAAAATATTATCTTTTTCCTTAAGATTTATAAAATGTCAAATTTTTATCTGCAATTTCATACTGATTTCAAGACAATCAAAATAATTCACTAGATGGTTATTGTTTTTTTGCACACGCCTGCAAATGCACTTTTGTTTGAAATGGTCCGCGAATCTCTCCTCTTCAGAGAGCAAAAGTATTCCTTGAAATTTTTGATTTAATAGGAAACATTGATAAAATTTTAGGAAGATTACTGTCAGAATTCTTCGTCCAATTATGCTGACTTTCCAGCTGATATATATTTCTGTTGTCAGACCTAAAACTGGAGTACGTTTCCTTACATTTAAGTTTTTATATCTTTCTTACTATTAAGAACATTACATAATCTAACCTTAAATTCTAACTGGCAAGTTAAAGAATAACAGACCTTACAGAACTTAAAGTAAGTTGACTGACTAAAACTTTGAAATGTCTCAGTATCCAGCGACCAAAAATAAAGCATTCACATTTTGCTTTGCCAAAGAATAAAATATAATATTTCAGATAACTTTTCAAATCTGAATCTGGACATAAATTCTTAATTTTAATTCATTTCAAACTGTTCAAAAGATTAATTTTTAAAGCTGAATATCAACTTTAAAAATAAATTATCAGAAATGAATTACCAAAGGTTCATTTTATCAATAAAATCAAAGTGAAAGCTTTCTGGATTAGAATTTACTTTTTATTAATCACTTAACGTAATCGAGCATAAATTATTTTTTAATAAAAATATGGCATAAAATTTCGTTTTTGAATACATCTTAGAAGATTTATTTGAGCGGTTACTGGATACGATGGAATGATTTCAAACTGAAGTCTCTTTTTTTTTTTAACATTTAAAGCAGATAAAATGCGAAGATAGCTCAGAACATTTTTAAAGTCAACGATGTTCTGCAAGCTTTGCTATTCTAAAACTTACCATTTAGAGTAATATCCACAAAATCCATGTTTTCAATAATCCAGAGTGTTCAAACAAATCATCTTCTTGATCTTGTAGAAAAAAGTACCTACCTTAGTTTTCTATAAAAGCGGTACCCTCAAAAAAACACTCCCGTCCGTTTCTTAAAAAGCGTCTTGATCGGGCAAAGACTGAAAGTTTTTTGTGCGCAAAGCTTGCGTGCTCAATATTATTTAAACTGGCCTCGGGAATCTGGGCGTGACTTAGTACCACGTGCTTGTTTCGTCACACATCCAGGTTGCCGTTAGATTACTTTGGCGGTTATTGGTCGGACCCGTTACACTCGAGGAGGAGCTTGCAGTGCCTCGCAGCTAGCCTCGCTGTAGAAGGTCCTGGCTTTCTTTCGGTGGCCCGTGGGCTATACGGATGTTACCTAGATCGGAAAAAATCCCTCCGCGCCCCAGTGGAAGGAAGGAAAATGTAGAGATTATGTGTTTGGGTGACATAAATTGGCATCTAATCTGTTTTTTGGCGTATTTTGATATATTTTAAGTGGCAAAATTTTCTAGTGTGACAAAAAGTGACAATTGCTGTAACAACCGCGTTATAAATTAAGATATGAATGTTTTGAGAAAAACTAATAAACTCTACAAAACTAAAACTTTTTTACTGAAGGGAATCTATAAAAACATATTATGCAAAATTGAAGTAATTCTAAACAATGTATCAACTGTGAACTAACTATTAACAAAAACATCAACTGTATAACTAAGTTTGAACTTAAACTAAAAAATTAACTAAACTAAAAGATTAAATTTCAGGTAAATACTATATTTTAAGAAACAAAGCATATTTGAGCTTCAATATGTTTAGTCCAAAACTTAAAAAGAAAAAAAAAAAAAAAAAAAAAATTCTCATTATTCTTTAATTTGAAATTTTTAGACTCTGAACACTTTTAAATTTCCGCTCAAAATTTATTGGCATTGCATATGTTCGATTATTAAAAAATTATTTTTGAAGTCAACAAATACTTTGTAAAAATGTCTGTTTGGCGCAAAATAAATTTTGGTGTAAAACTGGCAACCCAGAAGTCAAGTTCAAACTCTTACCGGTTTGAGAAAAGTATTTTAGATGACCTATTTTTATGTAATTTATCACAGTTTTGAATCATAATTTCTTGCACTAAATGATTTTCTCCGATACCTTATATTTGATCAAATACAGTTTTTGTCAGGCACAAAATACGTTTTACTGTAATACCTAGTAAATCAAATCAAAATTTTGCAAAGACATTCTATCTTAATTTAGAATACTTTTTGCTCGGTAATTAAGGAAGTATAGCTTTAAATATAAATCTCCTGAAGAGAAAACCCCTCACAGATTATTATATTTACAAAATTACGTTCATCACGGATTACAGTTGCTCGTTGGTTTTTTCCCGACACTCGTTAATTACGAAAAACCTGTTCGCATATAAATCTCTACATATAATAAAAGAAAGTGTCTGCGTGTCTTTCGTTCGTGCTGCGCGTAAGCTAATAGACCCAGGGCTACGACATTTGGTATATAGGTGCATCTAGACGAGCCAGTGCACCTCGAAGCGATTTTTTAAAAATTCGAATTAGATTTTTTTTTAAATTTTATCTTTTCGATTATATCGTATCATTTTGAATACTTTCATTCTTTTAGAAATGTGGTTTTGGCAACAGTTTTACATTCAATTGTATACTGAACTGCTGAACGTTGAAAATCAGCTCTGTTGCCATTTAAAAAAATGAGGGGGATAATTCTGTGCAGTTTTTAATGTTTCTCTTGGATACTGGACGTTTGTTGAGAGAAGGCTGCGGGAAGTTGGTTAATTTACTTATTAGGATAATTAATACATGTATTAAATGATATTGCTTATTTCATTGTAATTTTGTTATATGTAATACTTTTTTTTTACTTCCTTGTACGAAGTAAAAAGAAATTATTGTAATCGCGAAAAGTTTCAGGCAGCATATTTCAACGAAAATATCCATTTTGATGGTTATCGAATGAAATTTAACGATGTTTTTGCTTGATATCTGTACGTAAGAACAGAATAAAAGACTCTTTTCCTCCAAAAAAATTATAAAACTGCTTTAAAATGAATTCTGAAGAGAATTCTTTGTGGCGTCTGTACGAACGTATCTCGCATAACTGAAAAATGAGAAGCTTCAGAACGTTGAAATTTTGTATATAGGACTGATATAACATGTAGATGTGCACCTCGTATTTTGGTTGCAGTCGGCCGAACCAAACGTATATAAATATATTTATATATATATATCCAATCTAACCGGCTCAGTGATCTCAGTTTCTTTACTCTTTATGTTTGTAAATTGTAAATTTTTTTCTTTAAAAATGATTGAATTATGTTGTTCTTATCTCCCGGTTAAGGTTTTTATGCCTTTAGTAAATCTGTATACAATATGTTTAGAATTAGCAACAATTTTAAAGTTGTTTAAGTGCCGCTAAGCCTTTTTTTTATGGCGGCCATTGCTTGTTTACATTTGAAACAGCAGGATAGTGGATTTGTTGCCAATCTAGAGAAACTTAGCTTCGCAACAAAAAAGATAACGCCTTCATTTATTATTGCCAATTAAATCATGCTTAATCCTTTCTGGAATTTCTCGAGGAAATAAGTGTTTAATATTTACTTATATTAAACAGTAATGTAATTTTTAATACAGATATTTTGAATTTTTATGTATTTTTGCCTTGTCGCGAAGTGAGAACTGAATTAATTGAATGAGAAATACTCCATCGTCTGTGAAAAACTGTTTCTTTTTTGTTTTGTTTGCTTAATTTCTTTTATACATCGTTCTAGATTTATTATAGTATTTGAATAGAACATGTGGCAACGATTAGATAATTATTATGATATAATTAAATAATATAATTTTGTGCATTCTGAGTTATAATATGAACGAAATATAAAACTCTTAAGTGAACCTAGCGCTAGAGTGTCGCTATGGTAAACAAATATAGTGAATTTTAAAGAATGCATTTATTCTATCGTGGTTTATGCGCTGTCGGCGAAGTAGATTTAATTCAATCCAATAAGTTTAAATGAAATGCAAGAAAAAATGCGTATAATTTAATATTCCGTACAAGGAAGTCATGTGGTGCACACATCAGATTAAAAAAAAATTGTGGGTTTTTTTTGTTATTTATTTATTTAGTTATTTGTTTTTCGATGAAGTTTTTCTGCAGAATAAAATTCTGCGCAGTTTTTAAATTTAACGTTTGGTTTTCCCTTCAGGCATTTTCCCGGTACATTTCAAAGCCTGACGAAAACTGGCTGCGTAGTTGCTAGTTAATAATAAATAAAGCAACTATTTCAAACGCAAAACTTCTTTCTTGACAAAATTTATTTTTTGATAAGTGCGAATAAACTTAATTGAATCTATATCTTCAAATCCTTGTTTTACACTCGTAAATTCATTAGTTCCATTTGTAATTTTCTCGTGCGTTATCCACGTTGGCTTTAACAGTATTGAAAATGATGTACAATTGAACTACAAATCCTTAACATCAATACATGTTTTGTTTTTTTTTTTAAATTCTTGTGGTAATAATGCTATTTTTCTTGCACTTGCCATATGTCGATAAAAATGGAGGCTCTGTTGAAAGATTTAAAAAATTTTTAGAAAATACTGAAGCGAAGAAATGAAAAATTGTATTTTTAAATAACAATAAAAATATTTATAATAAGGTTTAATTTGTATAACCTGATTTAGATATTAATTTGCAAGAAGAGATCTAAATAATAATCCAACCATTATGCTTTAACATGTTAGGTATTTACAACGGCTCCCTTGCACACGTTAAATTTAAAGACAATGCCAGTTAAATGCCTGTGCAGCACAATCTTCAAATTGAATTGGTGAATCGGCCGCGGACTGCTGCCTACAAGCAAAGGAATTATTTTTTTTTCTACAAAATCTATACAATTTCTTTGCAACATCAAAATGGGAAATTTTGAAAGATATACTAGCACCAGACAACATAATTTAAAAAAAAAAAAAAAAAAAAAAAAAAAAAAAATTAAGCGACACGTGGTTTCCAGTTATGAATATTTTGAAGATTATTTAAACAAAATTTAGAATGTAATTTACAAATACTTGCTATATTTTCTCTCTCTTTCCTGCATGTATTCGTGGTACAACGGTTAGCACACTCGGCGTGTATTCGAGAGGTCCAGGTTGGAATCCCGGCTAGGGCACTGCATTTCTTCGATTTCCTTGTTTCGGAAAAAAAAAAAAAAAAAAAAAAAAAAAAACCTAAGGACTCTACAGTGGCGCCTGAACTAAAAGGTGGTGGATGATGATGATTCTTCACCACCAGTATTTGGCTATTGGGTCCCCTAATCTGCAGTCACACTTTAAAAGGGGAAGTATATAAGGTATTTTCTCCCTCTTTTCTGCATGTCTTCGTGGTGTAATGGTTGGCGCACTCGGTGCGTATTCGAGAGGTCCAGGTTCGAGTTCCGGCTAGGGAATTGCTCATTTTTCATGTCTTCTGCTTCAAAAAAACCTAATGTCTCTACTAGATGAACTCACAGAAACTTGCTCATACGCTAAGTATTATTATACTATACGCATTTTTAGAAAAAAATTCACAGTATAAAGAACTTAAAGAAATATTTAACTTTTACAAATCTGAAGTTAAAAATTGTCTATATGCGATGAAGGCAAACGATTTGGAATAGAAAAATACAGTACGACACAAATACGGCGGAAGAAGAATATGCCAATAAAGTATTTCGCATAAATACACATTATGCTATGAATGGTAAGCCTTTAGCAGAGGTACAAAAGAGAATGTGGGCCTATGATGACTTTTACACAAAATTTGGCTTTATAGTTCCATTAAAATATTAAATGATGATACAATCAGAAAAAATGTTGCAGAGTTGTGTGAAACGTATGCGGACGATTTAAAAATAATTTTATCGAATAATTTTATTCAAAAGATGTATATTTATTTCAAAATAAGGTAGGGTACAAAATAAAATGAGTACTTTAAAATAAAAGAAAATATTTATCGGGGAGGTGGGTGGTTGTATGACTGGGTGCAACTGAGGCGAAATTCCAGCACGAAGGTTGAACTTCAAATATTGGTTGGACTGAGGTAGCCAGGAGAGAAGTGTTACTTCCCTGTCATGATCTTCGAACCATGCTTGAATACACCTTGCGGTGTAGATAGGAGCGTTGTCGTCTAAAAAAAGAGGAGGAATGAAGG